CCGCCCGGCATGCGCAAGGTCCTGGGTTCGGTCCTCAGCCCTGGAAAAAAAAAACAGAGAGAGAGAGAGAAAGAGAAATGCAGCCAGATTGCAGTGGCTCACATCTATAATCCTAGCTATACAAGGGAGCCTGAGAGCTGGAGAGCCCAGAATCAAGGCTAGAAAATCCCCAGAAAAAAAAAAAATCTTCAAATGATCAGTTAAAAGCTGGATGGGGGTGTGTGACTCAAGTGGTAAAGCACCAGCCAAGCAAGCATGAGCGTGAGGCCTTGAATTCACCAGTATCAGGTAGAAAGAAAAAGAGAGAGAGAGGGAGGGAGGGAGGGAAAGGAAGGGAGGGAGGGAAAGGAAGGAGGGAAAGGAAGGGCAGAAGGGAGGAAGAAGAAAGAAAGCAAAAAGAGAGAAAGAAAGGAAAGAAGGGAGGACAGAGGGAAAGAAAGGAAGGAAGAAAAGAAAGAAAGAGAAGATGCGTAGCTGAATGAGACATAGACTGGATCCGGATTATGAATGAGGACATGGAAGATACTAGTTTTCAAACATCTCACTTCAAGCGTGTCTCAAGTGGGGATGCAGGTCAGAGAAAACACCGAGGGTAGAACAGAAGGTGTAGGGATGAGATTATATCGGTTTAAATGCCAACCCGACTCTAGGAAATTGTCTATATAAGAAAAAAATAAACGAAAGAAAAGAAAGCTGACAGCAAAGTTCATAGGGGAAGCCAACGCAATCAACTACAGAAATACAGAAACTGATCAGAAATACCCTTTTTTGGGGGGTGGGGTGGGAGAGAAGTTGGCCTAGGAAGATCAATCTGTGACTTTGGAGACAACGGGGTGGGGGGGAAGAGCACTCCCCCACCCGGCTCCCACAGAGCATACTAGGAGGGCTGGGAATGGGGGGGAGGGTCCCCCACTCCTATAGGAGCTGGGAGGGAGTCTCCTGACCTCAACCCCTCTGGACCTGGAGAGGGATTTTTCAGGTGAGATCTTCGGGAGCATTGGCATTTCACCAGCCTGTTGGCATCGCGTGCCTGCATTCGTTTTGTGTTATTTTGATTTTATTTTTGCTCCTCAAAGGAATGTAACATCTTTCTCCAGTTAGATATTCAGGGAAGAATCAGGAAAACCAATCCTTTGGTGAAATGTCCCTTTTCTCGGGGACCATTCACGCGCCTGCTACAGCTTTCAGAATGCGGGGGGGGGGGCTGGTTGAGGGGAGGGCGAACCCCTCAAAATCAGGAGAAGAGTAAACATCTTTGAGAGGTGGATTGAGGGGTACGGTGTGGGGGGGAGCTGATGTCTCGAGGGGAGGTGGAAGATGAGCGCGGAGACCACTCTGGGAGACGAATGGAGAGGGGGCAGCTGGAGACTGGAAAATGGGGGAGACGGTGCGGGGAGAAATGGCCACCCCCACCACCCCCAAAAAGGCGAGCTGCAGAGAGGGAGGACCGGGGCGCTGGAAAGAGGGTAAGGACGGCGGAGAGAAGGGACGAGCGAGGAGCGCGGTCTAAACGAAGTTCTCACGGCCTAGGCCCGTGGGTGGGCTGCGCGCACCCTTGGCGCTCAGTCCGCTTGTTTCCTTCTTTGCCCTCAGTTTCCCCGCCGCGCTGCCTCGGGTCCCCCGGGGTTGGTGGTGGGGAGAGAGGGTGATCAAAAGCTGCTCGGGCAACCAGCACCCTAAGAGTGGCTGTGAACATCCCCTAGGGCCCGCCCCCTCCAACATCCCCCCTCCCCTCCACCCAGGACCTGAGCCGGGTCCCCCCTTTCCTCCCCCACCCCCAGCACTTTCTACCCCATCTAGCTGGTCTCGAGAATTTGGGAAACACCCCTCTAGGTTCCCTGACCCGAGGCGACAAGGGTGGATGTGGGGGACAAGGGCGGAGCGCGAAGGAGAGGGACTTGGGAGCCGTCCCTCCCTCTCCCCCGCCCCGGCCCCGGCCGGCCGGCCCCCGGGTCCCCCGCCGAGCGCGCACGGGTTAAAGGCGGCCGCAGGTGAGGTGGGCGGGGCGGCCAGCCGAGAGGAAAAAGGAGCGGAGCGCCGGGGATGCAGGCAGAGCGCGGTGAGTCACGGGCGGAGCCGGCCTCGCTCGCTCGCTCGCTCGCTGCCGCCCGCCCTCCCTCCCTCCGCCCTCCCGCCGCCGCCTTCGGGTCTGGTCTGGTTGTGGCCCCCGCTCGCCGTCGGCTTTGAGTCCCTCGCCGCCGAGCGCCGGCCCGAGCGCAGGGCCTCCATGAGCGCCCGCCTGTGAGCGCGCCAGCCCCGCGGTGCCCGGAGCCCCAGCGCAGCCTCCAGGTAGGAGCCCCGGTCTGGGTGGTCCGGGCTGCGCCCTTTGGAGACCCTGGGAAGACGCGCTCTGAATGCCTCGCAGCCGCCTCGGGTGGTGGGGGTGGGGGTGGGGAGCGGAGGTGATCGGAAAGAATCGGAGGGGCGTAAGGGGATCCCCCCCCCCGCCCCGATCGAGGGAAAACTCAGAGGACGGGAGAGACTGGAAAACTGGGGCAACTGGAGCTACTGGGACAACCGGAGGACTAGAACACTGTAGATCGAGAGGAGGGAAGTGTCCGTCGGGGCCCGAGCGCTGGGATTCGGGGAAGGCAGCCGGCTGAACCGAGGCGTCAGGGTGTCTCTACCCACCGACCCGAAAGGAGGAGCGGGAAGCCCGGGAACGCGCGCGCTGCGCTCTTCTTAACCTAAAATCCTGGTAGCAAGGCCTCTGTACCCCGGGCCTGGGTTCTCAAGTTCTGTCCGGAGAAGACAATTGATTGGAGAGCTGGGATCATCCTCTTCTCCCCATTCCCTCCCGCTCCCTCCCCCGTCCTCCCCCCCCAGTTCCTGGGGGCAATTCCCAGGCGCCAAAAGCTATTAGGGTCCCAGGCCTGGCTGCTCCCGCCCAGCCCCTTCTGGGCTGCCCCGCCCCGGCCTGGGGCTCCGTTCCTGCTGCTTCACCCTGTTCGTTCCTTTCTTGTGGTGAAGCTGCCAGAGCCTGTGTAGGCGCCCTGGCTCTCCGCGGTACTGCGTGTCTCTCTCTAGTCCCAGAGGCAAAAGGTGGTCGGGTCACCTGAGACCCGAGAAGGAAAAGATGGAGAAGCCGGTTCTCTAAGTGACTGGCCTTCTCCCCCACCATTACAGAAGGCTCCTAGGCTTTAGGGAGAGGTGGTGAGAAGATTACAACTAGATTACAACTATGTGGTGGGGAAAGGGGTGAGGGTCTCTCTCTCTCTCTCTCTCTCTCTCTCTCTCTCTCTCTCCACAGTCTTGATGTTTAGGTCAGTCTGGCTTCAAGCTCACAAGCTCTTCATCTTCCTACCTCAGGTTTACAAGCCTGCGCCATCCCTCCCCAACTGGGTGTTCAGGTTTCTGCTGGGCCTGTAGGTTTCTAGTGGTTTACAGAGTTACAACCAATGGTCCCAGAGACCTGGTTCATAGACCACACAGTACTGTATGGTAGGTTTTTTTTTTTTTTTTCTGGTTGAATAAATCGACATCCTTATTCAAATCACAACTCCAAGTTTGGTTTTCTTTCTTTCTTTCTTCCTTTCTTCCTTTCTTTCTTTCTTTTTTGTCCATCATGAGGCTTGAACTCTGGGTCTGGGCACTGTCTCTCAGCTCTTCAGCTCAAGGCTAGTGCTCTTCCATTTGAGCCACAGTACCACTTCTGGTTTTCTGGTGGTTAATTGGAGGTAAGAGTCTCACCGACCTTCCTGCCCAGGCTGGCTTTGAACTGCGATCCTCAGATCCCAGCCTCCTGAGTATTACAGTAGGATTAAAGGTGTGAGCCATCAGTGCTGGACTTGGTTTTCTTTTAAAATGAGTTTGTTGTTAATAGTGCTGTATGTTAGGATCATCTGAGTAGCTTTAACAAATTGTGCATGACTCTTATAATCGCTGGGCAATTCTTAAGAGCAATTCTTGCTCTTAAGTTTTGTGATTAGGATTTTACTTGCAGCCCTCCTCTTTCTGGATTCCGGATCCTACATCCCTTGAGGGGGTGTCAGTTATACCCTCCTGAGTTGTTGGCGACTTCTTCCCCAGGGAATCTGACCCTTCCCTCCCCTTGTTTCTGGGTCTTTCTTAGCTTGAAGATGGGCATAGGTACCTCCAGAGTTGGCTAGCACTGTTGGGGGTCAGGAGCAGGAAAGAGGATTTGGCTTTCTCTAGTGGAAGCAACTGTCCCAAAGCTGGCACATAGCTACACTGCCAGGAGAAATGCTGGTGTGGAAGTGGGTTTCTTCAGACAGAGTCAACCAAGCCAGGAAGGAAGCAGGGGATAGTATGTACAGAGATGAAATGTTCTTCCTGCTGCGGAGGCTGGTAATGGTATGAAGACCTGCTTTGGGCTTTTTGAAAACTCCAGCTTTCTGTTTCAGAAGCACCCTTCCTCTCCAATTGGTGTCCTAATTAAACTAGGGAAGCAGAGGAAGTCTAAGATCATCCATGTGAGCTGGCAGCATGTCTGCAGGGGACAAATGCCATTGCCAGTTGGAGTAGCAGGCACTGTCATCTATGATCTGGGTCCTAGGTGCAGGATCCTGTGCTCCTGGGGAGACTCTGTTTGCAACCCTTCTTGCATGCCCAAACTTAACTGATCTGAAGTACGGGACCAGAGGAGTATTCTTTTGCACTTTGTGGCGTGTGTGTGTGTGTGTGTGTGTGTGTGTGTGTGTGTGTGTGTAAGATCTGGGTTAGGAGGTAAAGTGTGCGGGCTATTTGCCTCACTTTTGGGGGGTGGGGTGGGGTGGGTTGTGGGGCTTGAACTCAAGACCTATCTCTGAGCTTTTGTGATCAAGGCTAGTAGTGCTCTCCCACGTTGAGCCACGCATGACTCTGCTTCCAGTTTTCTGGTGGTTAATTGAAGATAAAAGCCTCACAGATTTCCCTGCCCGGGCTGCCTTGCGATTCTAAGATCTCAACCTCTTGAGTAGCTAGGATGACAGGCGTGAGTCACCAGCGCCCCGGCTCACTTCTTTTCTTTGCCTCCTGTAGCTTCCATCTGAGGTGTCCCTGACCCCACCCACCCCGGATCCCGGCAATGCTAACCGCTGTCTGCGGCTCTCTGGGCAGCCAGCACACGGACGCGCCGCACGCTTCGCCGCCGCGCCTCGACCTGCAGCCTCTCCAAACATACCAGGGCCACACGAGCCCGGAGGCCGGGGACTACCCCTCCCCGCTGCCGCCTGGGGAGCTGCAGAGCCTCCCGCTGGGCCCGGAGGTAGACTTCTCCCAGGGCTATGAGCTGCCAGGAGCCTCCTCGCGGGTGACCTGCGAGGACCTGGAAAGCGATAGTCCCCTGGCCCCGGGACCCTTTTCCAAACTCCTGCAGCCGGACATGTCACACCATTATGAATCCTGGTTCCGGCCAACTCATCCAGGCACCGAAGATGGCTCGTGGTGGGACCTTCATCCCGGCACCAGCTGGATGGACCTCCCCCATACCCAGGGTGCGTTGACCTCACCTGGCCACCCGGGGGCGCTCCAGGCCGGCTTGGGGGGCTACGTTGGAGACCACCAGCTCTGTGCCCCGCCGCCCCACCCGCACCCGCACCACCTCCTCCCGGCCGCCGGAGGGCAGCACCTCCTGGGGCCGCCCGATGGGGCTAAAGTCTTGGAAGCCGCGGCGCCGGAGTCCCAGGGTCTGGATTCCAGTCTGGATGCGGCGGCCCGCCCCAAAGGCTCCCGCCGATCGGTGCCTCGCAGCTCGGGCCAGACCGTGTGTCGCTGTCCCAATTGTCTGGAGGCGGAGCGACTGGGAGCTCCGTGCGGGCCGGACGGGGGCAAGAAGAAGCATTTGCACAATTGCCACATCCCCGGCTGCGGGAAAGCCTACGCCAAGACGTCGCACCTGAAGGCGCACCTGCGCTGGCACAGCGGCGACCGCCCCTTCGTGTGCAACTGGCTCTTCTGCGGCAAGCGCTTCACGCGCTCCGACGAGCTGCAGCGCCACCTGCAGACGCACACGGGCACCAAGAAGTTCCCGTGCGCCGTGTGCAGCCGCGTCTTCATGCGCAGCGACCACCTGGCCAAGCACATGAAAACCCACGAGGGCGCCAAGGAGGAGGCCGCGGGAGCCACCCCCGGCGACCCCAAGGCCGGGGGCACCGTGGAGCCCGCCGGGGGCAAAGGGAAACGGGAGGCCGAGGGCAGCAGCAGCGCAGCAGGGCCCTCCAACTGAGCGCTCTCCCCGCCCCCCAGATCCCGGGGTGCCATCTCCCCGCCCGGCTCCTGGGGACATCTCCAAAGAGTCCCCCTAGCCCGACGCTGTTAGGGATGTCCCCTTGAGGAAGGGGGAGGGCTGGTTATTTATTAAGGGGGAGGAAAAGTGGGGAGGGGGGGCACGGGGAGACGGGCTAGGGGGTTTTGTTGTTTGATTTTTAGTCTGGGGCAGGATGGGGTGCGGTTGACTGAGCTTTAGGAGTTGTGCATACCCCTCCGTTCTTCCTTCGCTATTTCACTATCTCCCCACCTCCCCTCTCCCTCCTCTCCCCCACCCCAGGCTGGGCAGCTGGGAAGGGGCACCCCGATGGCCTCCGATGGTTGGAGGGGACCGGCTAGGAGCTGGGAGGAGTTAGGGGCTGGTCCGGGTTGCTGCAGGGAGCTGTCCTGACACGTCCTTAAGCGCCTTGGAGCCTGGACATAAAAGTGCCTGCAGAGCCGCCCTGCGCGCGGCCCAGCGCCCTTTCATCCCCCTTCTAGAGCTTCTGCCCCTAGGGTTTTTTGGAGGGGGAGCTGAGATGGGGGGGGAGGCTTGAGGGTCCCCCTGAGGTGTGTGTGGGGCGGGGGTGTCTGTGTAGCGTGGAGGATTCTTGCTGTTTGAGATGTTCCTCCTTCTTAATCTTTCCAGACTTGGTCTGATGGAGCCCTGGAGACCAAGGGACAGTTTCCCAGCCAGAGCTGTGTGGTGCGAGGCAGAGTTAGATGCCAAGAAGGGAACGTCTGAGCAGGGAAGTTCTCTTAGGAAAGGAAAGGGATCAGGGGTGGCCTGATAGAGGGAACTAACCTAGTCCCTCTTCAACTCTGATTCAGCCATAACACTTGGTGGTTGTTGTTTTAATCAAGTTCAGTACCCAGTCCATGACCTTCGGTTGGATTATTTTGGTGGTTGTTGTTGTTGTTTGTTTGTGCTGGTCCTGGGACTTGAACTCAGGGCCTGGGTGCTGTCCCTGAACTGCTTTTTGCTTAAGGCTAGTGCTCTACCACTTGGGCCACAGCTCCACTAGCAGCATTTTCTGTAGTTTATTGGAGATAATAATCTCATGGACTTTGCTGCCGTGATCCTTAGGCATCCTGTGGCGCCAGCTCTTTAATTGATAGAGTCCTTTGCCCTGGGTCCCCATCATTTGCCTTCCATCTGAGGAAGGATGGGAGGGGGAGGGTTAGTGGGGCTACTTGGGACTTAGATGGGGGTGTCCCAGCCGAGACGCCTTTCTCCTCCTAGTAGAGGCCTTGCACCTGTCTAGCCTCTTCTGCTCACTGAGAAGCTAGGTTCTGCTCCCTAGCTTGACCTTTCCATGCCTCCCTATGGTCCTCTCCTTGTCATCTCCCCTTCCATATGAAGGAGTTGTCCTCCCACTGGAAGGGATTCCAGGAAATTGTCCCCCTTGCCCTTTAGATGCTAGAAATACATTTGGATTCTGATCACAGGGGTGGGAAGGGTAGAAGCCCAGCCGAAGCTGAGCTAGGCATACGGAGAAGAAAATAGATATAGGGAAGGGCCTGGCAAGCCACAGGACCCTGGAGCTGGGGGTGTTCCCAGGCTTGAGGTATGGGGTCTCCAGTCTCTCTGACCTCCCCTTCCCTTTATTCCCCTCTCTCCACCCAGAACCCTCTGCAGGGATTAGTTGTGTACTGATTTTAAGTTATAAGCAAAGGGTATTTTATTTAATGTTAGGGCATGTTGTATGTGTGTGCTGCGTACCTGTGTGGATGTGGATGTGTGTATTTCTCTACTGAGCCTGGGGTCTCCTGAGACCCCCATCTTGTTCACCCCGTACAAGGTCTGGGACCTAGATCCACAGCATCTCTTCTTCTATTGGGGGTGCTTGAACCCAGGCCAAGGTCTGGGAGCTCTCTGGGAAGTAGGAGCTGGTAATCTGGGTGGGAAGAAAGTTGGGATTGAAATGGGCAGCTCCTGAAAAAAAAGGACAAGCTGACTTCAGAGCCCCCTCTCCCCCTCACCCTGGGGTAGTTTAAAAAGTAAGGTTCTTTCTTTATTCTCCCTCTTTCCCCCCACTTCCTGCTAACCCAACCAGAGTTCTTCCTCGCTGAGAGCATTGAGGACAGGAGCAGAGTTGGCCATGCCGGCAGGTTGCCTGGCCAGGTGCAGAGGGGGAGAAAGGAGGGCACCGTGGGTGTAGGATGCCTTTCTCCTCCACCCATCGAAACCAGCCACCCCCTCCCTGCATTACCAAGACAGTCTTTTCCAGTGACCATTCTAAGGGGAACTCCCACAAGGGTGGTGGGGGGGGGGGACCCGGATGTTCCCCCTTATAGAGGCCCTGAGCCCTAAGCTACATAGGTACCAGGGCTTTGGGTAGGTTTTCTTCTGCTCTCCCTCTTTCATAGATCTAGGTTTCTTGGCTGCCTGTCCTTCTAGGTAGCCCCCCCTAGAGGAAAATGTAGGAATTTTTTTTCTTTAACTGCTGTGAACCCACTTTGGGGGGGGAGGGATGGAGGCAGAAACAGCCTGTGTGCGTGGTTTTTTTTTTTTTTTATGCAACAATAAAGTCATCAACCACATCATTGCTTCATTTGTCTTCTAGCTTGCTGTCCTTTTTTGACTCAGTATCCCTCAGAAGTGAGGACCAGGTCTGGGCTAGTGGAGTGGACCTTGCCCTTTGATCCTGAAACCTTCCTCATTTGGCTGGGTCAGAGCTGGGCTCTGATCCTACCTTGTAGGGTTACAGGGAGGGTAGAGAGCTGTCGACTGGGCCTGCCCCTCCCTGGTCTTTCCCTGTAGGGATGAGAAGTTTCTAGATAGTTCCTTCCTCTACCAAAAGTTCCCAACCTCTTTCCCCTTCCCTACAAGCACCCTAAGAAGGGGATCCTTCCCTTCCAATTCAGGCCTCTTGGCTCCCTTCCCGCCCCCCCATGGGAGCATGCATGTCAGCCAGTCCCTCTGGCTGTGAGCAAGGTGGGGGTGAGTGACAGCGATTTCTTCACCCAAGATGATCCCTATCACAGACAAGGCGATGAAAGGCAGCCAAGATATCTGATGGGCTGCCGCCCAACTGGAAAGTATGAGGGAAAGGTTGCTACTACAACTCCCAGCTAGAGACCTGCCATACTTACACAACTCCTCTGCTCATAAGACAGACCCTCACTGCATCCACGGTGCCTGTTCTCCAAGAGGCGTGGAAATGCCCATCTGTAGTACAAGGGTCTCCGGCGGCCCCGGTGATTGGTACTCGGCTGTTGTCTAGTTTACATCAACAAAGCTCACATGGAGGATTCATTCTTGGCTCTAGAGAGCCAGAGATGAATTGGTTCTTTCCTCTTCCATCCCCTCCTCCCCACAATTGTACTATTTTCATTCACTTAGTGGATTCCTATTTCCCAAACTCTACCTCTCACCTAATTTCTTCAGCCAAATCTGGCTCCCAGGTTGGTCCATCCTGTCCTTTATCTGGATGATTCTGCTACAGATCTCAAGACAGCCTTGGAAAGAGGACATCAGGAGGATTGAAAGGTTATGGAGTAAAATGCCCAGATTTGGGGAGGTCAATTCTTTGTTTCTAACTGCTCTTGGATTTAGCAGCCTGGGGAGAAGAGGGCCACCCTCCTCACTTCTGCCTGAGGCAGTACTGTGTAGCAGCTCTTTAGTCTTCTTGATTGGGGTGGGGAGAGTTAGACCCTAGGAACCTCTTCTCTCCAGGTCCCCTCCCCCCCCCCCAGTCCCTACCCCCAGGGTACAAGAGGGCAGCTGTGGGGCCGGCTGGGCCTGTCTGGGCAGGGCAGAGGCTGCCCCTCCTCCCCTTACAACTCCTCCCAGCTGACCTGCATTCTTAGCAGGGGCCTTTGGTGGGGCTCTGACACTTTTCTGCTTGTTTGCAATGCTGCCTGGCTGGCCTAGCGCCCCTCTCCCCTCCACCGAGCCCAAGGTCACCTCTGACCCCTCAAATGAGGCACCTAGGCAGGATGATCTTGAAAAAGCCAAGTGAGTCAAGGAAATCAGCACCTGTGGGTTGACCTGCTGGGTGACCTCTCTGATCCTTCCAAGTGGAGTGAAATTCCTCTAGAGTGGGTGAATGAAGTTAGGAATGGAAACGTGACACAGAAGGCAGCCTTGGGAACCAAGCCTCTAGATGAGCTGCAGCAGCAGAAGGAATCCTTCCTCCTCCTGCTGCCTGCGCCTGTCCCCTAGCGGGCATTCAAGAAAGTACAGCTTCCTGCACACTGCCAGTGTCACCGATGTTTTGGGGCACAGAGCCTTGACATTTGCTGCTGGAATGACACCCGATGGTAACTTCACCGGCCCTCCTGGATGATGCACCAGATACACCCATTGCCATCCCACTAATCCTAGCATTAATCTGATTGTTTAGCAATGAGGGTAGGTTTGAAAGAAATCTTAGGGACAAAACTCCACCAAGAAACTGCTCACAACTAATAAAGTAATAAAGTCACAGGATCCAAAACCAGCACACAAAAATCAATCGCATTTCCATATACTAACCACAAAATATCTTTTAGATCAAGAAAATAATCTCATTTACAACAGTTACGAGAAATACTTAGGGATAAAATTAACCAAGGAGGGGGGAAATCTGCACACTGAAAACTAAGACATTGATGGAAGAAATAGAAGGGAGGAAAAACAAAACAGAAAAATGGTCCATGTTCATAGATTGGAAGATTTAATATTGCTGGAGTGTGCATACTCCCAAACCATTTACAGACTGACTGCCAACCCTAGAAGCAGAGCACGTGCATTCCTGCAGGGTTTTACCAAGCAAAAGATACATTTGTTTAACTGCTGGCTAGGGAGATTGTTGAGTTGGAAGATAAGGACATCTTAGATCTGATTCCACCTCTGAACTGCTCTGTGTCTCCCTTGCCAAGACTTCTCCTTTGCCATTGAGCACTATGGGTAGAGTAGGGCTTTGGGGCCTGGCTCAGTAACTCATATCCTAGTGGTCAGGAAGACTGAAGTTCAAGGCAAGCTCAGGCAAAAAGTACCCTCTGTGCAGGACTTCCCAGGCATAAACATTAGACCCTATCCCCAAAATAACTACAGTAAAGGTTCTAACAGATTCAAGCAGTAGAGCACATTTGCTTATTGATATCAGGAAGCCCTGAGTTTGTACCCCCCCTTTTCCACTATTAAAAAAAGACTTTTGGAGTCAAACTTGTAAACATCCCCACCCCTGTTTTTTTTTTGGTGTCAGTATTGGTGCTGGGTGCTGTCCCTTAGCTTTTTGGTGGTTAATTGCAGATAAGAAAAATCTCACTGGCATTGGAGGTGTGGCTTAGTTGGTATAGTACTAGCCAATGAGAAAAAGTGTCAGGTACTAGTTACTGAGTTCCAGTCCCAGTCCTGGACCTTAAAAAAAAACCTCATCATGGGGCTGGGAAGGTGGGCTCAGTGGTAAGAATGCTTGCCTTGCATGCATGAGGCCCTGGGTTCAATTCCTCAGCACCACATAAGCAGAAAAAGCCAGAAGTGGCACTGTGTCTCAAGTGGTAGAGCACTAACCTTGAGCTGAAGAGCTCAGGGATGGTGCCCAGACCCAGAGTTCAGGCCCCACGACCGACCAAAAAAAAACAAAAACAAAAAACAACTCATCAACTTTTCTGCCCAGGCTGGGTTCAAATGTGATCCTCAGATCTCAGCCTCTTGAGTAGCCAAGATTATAGACCAGGTGTAAACCATCAGTGTGGCTTGTTTTTGCTTTGAAATGTATCAACTGCCCTGAGAAAAGTGGCTTATACTTACAATCCTAGGTACTTAGGAGGCTGAGATCCAAAATAGAAGGTTGAAGCCATCCTGAGCAGAAAGTCTGTAAGACTGTCCAGTTAATGAGTCTCCAATTAACTAGCAAAAAGCAGCAAGTGGAAGTGTTGCTCAAGTGGTAGAGCATCAGCCTGGAGCGAAAAGGCCAAGTGAGAGCACAAGGTCCGGAGTTCAAGCCCCACTACCAGTGCGCGCGCTCTCTCTCTCTCTCTCTCCCACATCCCCCCCACCAACCACACGAATACACCAACTGATCCCTATGCCCTCTGATTTGTGATTGCTTGTATATTAGAGTGCATCTTTGAAATTCAAGTCAAGACTCAATAGCTAAGGTTCCTTCATCTCCAGCTACCACAGCAGTCACCGCCATTTTACCAATCTTCCCTTCTACCCAGACTTTTTTTCCACTCCCAGCTCCAGCTCCCTACAGTAACCCCATCCTATGAACTTGTGGATTCATTCCTTTTTTCAGCCTGAAAAAGGAGGCTCCCAAATTACACTCGGGGGGCTGGGAAGGTGGCTCAGTGGTAGAGCGCTTGCCTTGCATGCATGAGGCCCTGGGTTCGATTCCTCAGCACCACATAAGAAAAAAGCCGGAAGTGGCACTGTGGCTCAAGTAGTAGAGCGCTAGCCTTGAGCTGAAGAGCTGAAGGACAGCGCCCAGGCTCAGAGTTCAGGCCCCACAACCCAACCCCCCCCCCAAAAAAAAAATCTTATACTTACCCCAAATTACACTCGGATAAGGAGAGCCAGGCAGGATTTGCAAGTCCGGCCCGCTCCAAGAAATGGTGCTAGAGCGCACCCTGATGGAGACTGGCGTAACTGCAGGTGTTCTGTGCCGGCCCCGCCCCCGGGGCCAAAGGCCTTCCACGCAGGTCACCTGGGAGCCTCCGTCCAATGGGATGGACCTGACCCGAAGCGGAGGAGGTGGTGTCCGCGACCGAGCTGAGGGTCTTGGAGGCAGACAGAGGGTGAGAGGCGTACAATATCGGGGACTGCCGGAGTAGACGGAAGAGGGGCGGCTCTGTGAGCATGCGCAGGAGCGTGCGCGTCTTGGGGAGGCGCGGGAGACCTGAGACTGGACACTTGGTGTCCCGAGGGTCCGGGACTCCCCGTGGCGCCGGGACCTTGAGAGATGGCAGGGCCCTCGCCGTGTGCTGACTTGCAGGCTGTGCACGGTTTGGAGCATCCCGTGCACAGAGTGTGCATGCGATGCGTGGTGTGTAAACGCCCACGGCACACGTATTGAGGGAGGGAGCGCCCTAGGCCCGAGCCCAGGCAGGGTGGAAAGGTGGCACGGGAGGGGCACAGATCATCCCCACCTCTCCGCAGATGGCCGCGTCGAGCCCTGATGCCCCTTGCTCCTGTGACTGCTTTGTGTCCGTGCCCCCGGCCTCAGCCATCCCAGCTGTGATATTTGCAAAGAACTCGGATCGACCTAGGGCCGAGGTGCAGGAAGTGGTGTTTGTACCAGCAAGTACCCACGCCCCTGGGAGCCGCCTCCAGGTGGGTTAGGACATGAAGGATGCTGGAAGTTGTGGGCAATCTGGACATTTTCATCTTCCTCTGAGCTCCAGGGCTGGGATGCTGCCACATGTAGTGGAAAGAATATGAGTTTCAAATCTACCAGCGTGGACCAAGAGTTTAACGTAGCTCCGGTGGACACAAGTTTTCTCATCTGTAAAATGGGAATAAGAGCTGGGCCCTGGTGGCTCACACCTGTAATCCTAGCTACTCAGAAGGCTGAGATCTGAGGATCGTGGTTTAAAGCCAGCCCAGGCAAGAAAGCCCATGAGACTCTTACCTCTAATTAACCACCAGTAAACCAGAAGTGGCGCTGTGGCTCAAAGTAGTAGAGCACTAGTCTTGAGCAGAAGAGCTGAGGGACAGGCCCAGAGTTCAAGCCCCACGACTGACTTAAAAAAAAAAAAAAGTGTAAGGTGATTGGCAAATTACCAGCACAGTGTGGGGACTGCCCTTTATGAGTAGCTGTTTTTCTTCTCTCCTCTACCTGCAGTGCACCTACATTGAGGTGGAACAGGTATGCAAGACTTACGCCATGATTCTGAGCCGACCTTCTTGGTTGTGGGGGGCTGAGATGGGTGCAAATGAGCATGGTGTCTGCATTGGCAATGAAGCTGTATGGACCAAGGAGCCTGTAGCAGAGGGGGAGGCCCTGCTGGGCATGGACCTACTCAGGTTTGGACCTGCTGTCTTGATCTCCTGCATCCTCCCCTCCCCCATTCGGGTCCATAGGGCCTTCTTGCTGTTGATATTGCCCTTCTGATCTCTCCAGAGAGGCTGCCCTGCTTCTCCTCTCTCCTGGCCCCTCCTCAAATGTGTGCGTGTGTGTGTGTGTGTGTGTGTGTGTGTGCGTGCGTGCATGTTGCCAGTACTGGGGTTAGAACTCCGAGCCTCATGCTTTTATTTATTTATTTTTTTTGGCTAAAGGCTGGTGCTCTACCATTTGAATCACATTCCTACTGCCAGCTTTTTGTGGCTTTTTGGTGTTAAAAGTCTCAGTATTTTACTGCTTAGGCAGGCTTTGAACCATGATCCTCAGAGCTCAGCCTCTTGAGTAGCTAAGATGACATGTGAGCCGCTAGAACACCCAGCTCCATCTCAAGTGTATGTATGGTGGGAATACTGGCCCAGTGGTGGTAGCTGTTTCCATTCTCTCCTCCCCCACTGGTTGTGGCTTTATTTTGTATTCAAATGTTATATAGAGGCCTGGTTTATAAAACTGATAAGGTCCAAAAACACCTCTGGGAGGCTGTGTTTCAGGCTTCCCCCCCACCTCCCCGGACCCTCAGGGCACAGCTTGGAAGTCACTGCTCATTACTCTGTTTAATGCAATGAGCGCCAGAGGATTTGCTGAGTGACTTGGACTTATCATCACACTTCTCTGGGTTTCTTCTGGCCTCTCACTTCTTATCAGATTGGCTTTAGAACGGAGCAGCTCTGCCCAGGAGGCCGTGCACGTGATCTCATGCTTGCTGGAGCGCCATGGACAGGGAGGCAGCTGCCGGGAAGACCCTGAGCCATTCTGCTACCACAATACCTTCCTGCTGGCTGACCGGAAGGAGGCATGGGTGATGGAGACAGCTGGGAGGCTATGGGCTGCTCAGAGGATCCAGGGTGAGGGGCCCAGTCCTGGGCCTGCCTCCCAGAGGCAACCCCCCTTATACCAGCCTTGGGAGGTGGGGGAGCAAGTAGGGTAGAGAGGGTCCCATCTAAGTGCTATGTCTTGGGGACACAAGATATGATGCCATTTGGGAACGTTCCGCCTTGATCTGATTAAGTCTTCTTGTGCTCTGGTCTGCCTACCTCTTGGTAGTCTCCCCTTACATGCAAGCAGGTACCTCTTTGCTTTTCCATCCATCTCTGGGAATGTTTTGTCCATTTTCCCCACCATCACAAAGCCCCATGAGGGTTGGCTTTCTTATCGCTGTTGTTTTCTCAGTATCTGGCCCATTGCCTGGCCCAGAATGGGTGCTCCCTTGTGCCACGAGTGACTTGGCTCTCCCATCTCGTTCACAGCAGGGGCCCGAAACATTTCCAACCAGCTGAGCATTGGCACAGACATCTCAGCCGAACACCCAGAGCTTCGGAGTCATGCCCAGGCCCAGGGCTGGTGGGCTGGGCAGGGCACCTTTGACTTCACACAGGTCTTCTCCCTGACCCAGCAGCCTGTGCGCATGGAGGCTGCCAAGGCCCGCTTCCGGGCAGGACGTGAACTGTTACAACCGCGGCAAGGTCAGTGAGTGGTGTATGGGGGTTGGACCGGGACAGTCACAGCACCACCAAGCCCTAGGGTGGGAACCCACCCATAGCTCCCCTACCAGGCCTCCCTGCTCTTCTTTGACAGGGGCTATCACAGCAGAGGTGATGATGGACATTCTCAGGAGCAAGGAGAGTGGTATCTGCATGGATTCTGGAGGCTTCCGCACCACAGCCAGCATGGTGTCCATCCTGCCCCAGGATCCCTCGCAGCCCTGTGTCCACTTCCTCACGGCCACACCAGACCCCTCCAGGTGAGGAGGATGAGGGAGGGGGGAACAGGAGAATGTAAACCAGACAGGGCAGCCGGGTGTACTGCGCTTGCTAGCCAAGTGTTCTTGGTTCACCCTGACGGGCTGAGCTGCTTCAGTCCTTCCATCTCTGTTTCCTTAGGTCGGTGTTCAAACCTTTCATTTTTGGGCTGGGGGCAGCTCAGGTGCCCCAGGTCCTGTCTCCCACTTTTGGAGATCAGGACCCTGTTCGGATCCTACCTCGATTCCAGACCCAGGTGGATCGCCGACACACACTCTACCGTGGACACCAGGCAGCTGTAGAGTTGATGGAGAGTGGGCAGGTAACCCCCAGGAAATAGCCTCGCTAAGGGTGATACCCATCTCCATCCCTCAACGGGCACTCTAGAAACCCGAGAGGCCAGGCCTGGGAGTGGAGGAGACTGCAGAGCTGAGGAGAGGGGACCTCCATCCTGTGGCGCTAGTGGGCCCCGGACAGTGTGAGTGGGTGGTTATGGTTTTGTCCTGCATGCACCGAGCACGTGTTCCTGATCAGCCTTTCCTGGCAGGAGCGGGGACAGCAGCTCTGGCAGAAGCAGCGGGACCTGGAGCAGGAAGGCCTGGAAATTGCACGGGGACTGCTGACCAGCGAGCAGACCCCAGCATCCCAGCAGCTGGGCAGCCTCTTCCAGGCCTTTGTAGAGAGGGAGAGCCAGCTTTATGCATAACCACACAGGTCCTCCTGGCCTGGGTAGGCACAGGACTGCTGGTACTAGCAGCTCTGGAGCAATCACAGCAATACCCTCAGCCATATTCTAAGTGGGTGGTAAGGCCTTTGCTTTAATAAATGTGTTCTATTAACTTGTTCAGTGAACTGGATCCCAGGTCTAAGGTAGGGTAAGAGAGCTGAGGATAAAGGGCAGCCCTAGACTGGCTTCGAGGCCTGTGGTACCAGGCAGAGAATTCTTCTCGTGGTAGTAGGCATTGAACTCAGGCACATGGTGCTTGTTAGGCAAGCATTTGATGACTGGAGCCCTTGTGCATTTTCTTTCTTTTTTAGCTTTTATATCACTTTATTCTCAGGGCCAACCTGTATGAGTTAACAAACCCCACACTGCCAACCATGTGGGAATCATACCAAATTCTCATACTTAACAATGAACTCTGGGTTGCAAAAGAAGATTTACTATTTGCATTTGTCTGTAAGGCTTTGTTACAAATTAAAGACACACAAGTGTTATCCCTTGTGCATTGTCTTTTGGTCTTTTTTTGTCAGTCATGGGGCTTGACCTCTGGGCTTGGGTGCTGTCCCTCAGCTCTTCAGTTCAAGGCTAGCCCTCTACCACTTGAGCTACAGCTCCACTTCTGATTTTCTGGCGGTTTATTGGAGATAAAAGTCTCATGGACTTTCCTGCCCTGGCTGGCTTTGAACCTCGATCCCCAGATTTCAGCCTCCCGAGAAGCTAGGATTACAGACATGAGCCACCGGCGCCCAGCTTGGATCCTTCTCTTTTTAAAGACAGCGTCTAGGTATGTAGCGCAGGCTGACCCTGAACTTATTTTGTGTGTGTTCTGGTACTGGGCCTTGAACTCAGGGCCTCACACTCTCATGTGGCTTATTCACTCAAGGCTAGCACTCTACCACTCAAGCCATACCTCCACTTCTGTATTTTTCATGGTTAACTGGAGGTAAGTGTCTCATGTACTTTTCTGCCTGCACTGATTTCAAATCTTTTTTTGCTGGTCATGGGGCTTAAACTCTAGGCCTTAGCTTTTCAGCTCAAGGCTAGCACTCTACCACTTGAGCCACAGCACCACTTCTAGCTTGTTCTGCTTATGTGGTGCTGAGGAATCGAACCCAGGGCCTCATGCATGCGAGATAAGCACTCTTACCACTGAGCCACCTTCCCAGCCCGATTTCAAATCTTGATCCTCAAATCTCAGCCTCCTGAGTAGCTACAGGCGTGAGCCACCAGCTTTTCTGGTTAGCCTCAAAGACATAACTGTATGGTGGTGAAGGGGCTGGGAGCACAGGAAAGGCGTGTCACTAAATGTAATATACACAAACACCAAAGATCATGTCTTGCCCGGGGGCTGACTACTGTGTGGTGACAATTAAGACTGCAGGTCCTTGGCTTGGACCTGGGAAGAACATTCTCCTTGGGTTGGCAGTGAAATGTGCCCCAGGGAAAAGAATCCTCTCTGTGGTGATGCCTGCTTCCTGCCCACTCAGGAGCCAGGAAGCCAACTAGGGAACTGGAGGAATGCCAGCCCTTTGAGTCATTCCTGAAAGATTGGGAGCTTGTTTAGAATCAAGCTTATTTTTCTTTGGGTCCGGTCATGAGGCCTGAACTCTGGGCCTGGGCACTGTCCCTCAGCTCTTCAGCTCAAGGCAAGCGCTCTATGACTTGAGCCACAGTGCCACTACCACTTTTCTGGTGGTTTATTGGAGATAAGAGTCTCATGGGCTTTCCTGCCTGGGCTGGCTTTGAACCACGATCCTCAGATCTCAGCCTTCTGAGTGGGATTACAGGAGTGAGCCACTGGTGCCTGGTTTAGAATCAGGCTTTTTAATCAAAGCTTTTTTTTTTTTTCTGTTTCCTGATGCCTGTATTACTATCCTTCCCCTGAAATGCACCCATGTAGCCAGAAAGGAATTACAAGCCTAGAGGTCCTTTATTTGGGGAGGAGTCTGCACAAGAGGGGCTTCACTCCTGTGTGAGAGGGGGGGAGAGAGGGAGAGGGAGAGGGAGCGAGAGAGAGGGAGAGAGAGTAGAGTCTGTGCTTCACTTGTTGGTTCTTTTGGTCACAGTTTTAGTTGTGTTGAGCGGCCCAACCTGAGAGGCCCCCAGGGCCCCCGTTTCTGCTTGGCTGGAGCTTTTCTGGCCCCTACGAAAGAGCCTGCCTGGTTTCCTGGTGAGAGAGGAGGCTGAAGGTGAAGTGACAGCTTCTGGGAGGGGCTCCTTCCCCGGCTCTGTAGTGACAGAAGGGAGGCTGTCCCCTGTCATGGGCGCCCCAGGCAGCAGGGACAGGTCGGTGAGGGTAGGCTGGATTTCCATCCTCAGAATGTGTTCTGACAGGGCAGCCTTCTGTCTGCGCTCCTGGTTCTTGCTCATGTCCTTCTCCAGCTCTGTGAAGAAGCCTAGGAAAGGTGGGGGTGGACCATGGAGCCTGGGGCTCAGCAAGAGGGCAGGCCCCCTCATCCTCCAACTGGGATGATCCTCCTATCATGCCTGGGATGTACCTGGTGGATACTGTCCACCACTTCTGGCCCAGGTGCTGGCTGGGCTTAGGAATCTCTCCCCAGACATCCCTGCCATCTTAGCTTTCCCCCCAGGCCCGACCTTGGGGGTACTACAAGTCTTGGGACAACAGAGTCACCTCGCTCTGTACGGAATGGGCCACTCAGCTCAGGGAACTCGTCTTCATCGCTTGAGGTCTTATCCTCATCATCTGAGATCCAGCGCTCCAACACAGGCTGCTTGTCCAGATCCAGGAGAAGAGGCAGAGCTTCCAGTACCATCTCCCTGCAGGACAGAAAGAAGAGAGCTACCCAGGAGGGGGCCTCCAGTGTGGAACCTGGGAGGACACAACAACATGGGCCACAGTCCCCACGCCCGCGCGCGCGTGCAGATCACAGACTAGGGGATGGGCTTAGGGCTGGCCCTAGTGGGCTGTCAGGAATGGACTGCGGGGGTGTGGAGAAGGGGTCGTGGGCTGCCAGGTTTGCAAGCAGAGGGAGAGGTGTGTTCTACCTTCAGTCCCTCCTCACCTGTAACCCTCCTTTTCGGTGCACTGGTTTCCAGTCAGGTTGAAGATGAGAAGGCTCTGGGGGAGCTCATCTGCACAGCAGAGAGAAGTGAGGTTCTTAGACTAGCTCTCAGAAGTTGGTACGTGAGTCGGGGAGCAGGATGGGGAGTGCAGGCATGGGGACGTGGAGGCAGGGGGCAGGGAGGCCGCCACACGGGTCATGGTCCGTGAGCTGGGGCCAGGGTGTTCTTACCCAGCTTCAGTGTTTCTATCAGGTTCTCAGAAAGGTCCAGAAACTGGAGATATGGGAGGTCAAGGAGGTTTTCCACTTGCCTGATTTCGTTGCCTGCCAGAGACAGGAAGCTGTAGGGGGAGGAAACGGGACAGAGATACAAGTGAATCATAGGATGGCTGGAGGAAGGGTGGGGATACCATGCAGGGTCCTGGGTCGCTGGCCTAGGCGGCTGGGTGATAAGTGTGAATACATGTTCTTTGGGGCAGGCTTGCTGGGTCCTTATGGGATAAGGGGCCAGGCTGGGGGAACTCTGAGCAGTTGTTAGGGATTGCCAGGTATCCCACACCTACTCCTTACTTCTTCCCCACCCAAGCCTTGGCACCACATACCGCAAGGAGGGGATGCACGCCAGATTCTCAATGCGCTGGATCTTATTCTGCAGAAGGAAGCGAGGGGAGGAGACCAAGCTGAAGTCAGCTAGGTAAGAAGCCCTTTAAGGGGAAAATCTCCAGACCATGCCTACTTGTTTTGGTGATACTGGAGATTAAATTTAGGGCTCCACGCACTACCTCTTCAGACACACTATAGTCTTTTTGCTCTTAGTTTTTCAGATAGTGTCTCATACATTGGCATGGGCTAGGCTCAGAGCACAATCCTGTTTCCCTACTAACTGGGCTTACAGGTATGTGCTACCAGCATGTCCACCTTCACAGCTGGAGATGTCAAACATTGAGAATGATCACCCATTCCTGGTTGGAGTGGTCAGTGGCTAATGGTGTAAATGAGGCTGGCTAAAATGGTGCGACCAAAGAGAGACCTGGGAATCAGGGAAGGAAACCAAAGGGCTCGTATGGCTTATATGCTCTGAAGGAACAATGAATGTGTGTGTGTTTTATATACATATAATACTTTTTAGTAGTACTAGAGTTTTAACCCAGGGCTTTGTGATGCTAGGAGGCATTCTATGACTTGAGCCACTCTGCAGCCCCTTTTCACATTAGTTCTTTTTTGTTGTTGTTGCTGTTGTTGGTCATGGGGCTTGAACTCTGGGCCTGGGCACTGTCCCTGAGCTTTTCAGCTCAAGGCTAGTGCTCTACACTTTGAGCCACAGTGCCACTTCGTTTCTGGTGGTTAACTGGAGATAAGAATCTCACAGACGCTGGGCGCTGGTGGCTCACGCCTGTAATCCTAGCTACTCAGGAGGCTGAGATCTGAGGATCGCAGTTCAAAGCCAGCCCGGGCAGGAGAGACCGTGAGACTCCTATCTCCAATAAACCACCAGAAAACCGGAAGTGGCGCTGTAGCTCAAGTGGTAGAGTGCTAGCCTTGAGCTGAAGAGCTGAGGGACAGCGCCCAGGCCCAGAGTTCAAACCCCATGACCGACCAAAAAATAAATAAATAAATAAGAATCTCACAGACTTTCTTGCCTGGGCTAGCTTTGAACTTCGATCCTCAGATCTCAGTCTCCTGAGTAGCTAGGATTACAGGTGTGAACCACCAGCACCCAGCACACTAGTTCTTTTCTTAATTTTCCTTCCCTTTCTTTCTTTCTTTTTCTTTCTTTCCTTCCATCCTTCCTTCCTTCCTTCTTTCCTTTCTTTCTTCCTTCTTTCCTTCCTTCTTCCTTTCTTCTCCTTCATTCCTTTCTTCTTTTCTCTCTTCCTTCTTTTTTTCTTTCATTTATTCTCTCTCTTTCTCTTTTATTCTTGCCACTATGGTTCTGAGACTTGAACTGGAGCTTTGTGCTCTTATATGTGTTACTTATTTTCATGATAGGGTCTCACTTTATGTCCAGGCTGGTCTGGACTGTGATCCTCCTATTGGTGCTTTCTGGAATTGCTGGGATGACAGGCACATGCTACCACACCCAGCTATTGTAGCCTGGGATGATAGGTTTGTGCCACTGCACCCAGCCACAATGAACATATGTCAACCGAATAGGTAAAGTTTCTGTGGGGGAAAGTTTAAGGGATCTGGGTATATTCAACCTGAAGATCATACAGCTACCACACCACATAGCCTTCAAAACAGGAAATGGGCTTGAGCTGTGTAATTTGAAAGGCTTAGTGTCTGCCTAAAGAATAGTGACTCATCCTGGTACTGTGGTGCACACTTGTTATCCCATCACTTCTCAGGTGAAGACAGGAGGATCTTGAATTGGAAGCCAACACGGGATATATAGTGAGACCCTGTCTGAAAAACAACAGCGACAGCAACACAACAAAGACAAGAATCCCTTTTGGAAGATCACTATTTCAATTCCGACTTACCCAACCATGTGGAAATAATTTAAAGGAAGGACAACCTACCCAAACACCAGAATTACACAAAATGACCCATTTGGCTACTTTCACATTAGACAGACTCAATCAACAGGGAATGGGGGGAGAGGAAAGGCTGGGAATAAAACCTTACCTCTTGCAGATAGAGGCTGTGAATATTTTGGAGCCCCTCTAAGTTTTTGATGGTGGTAATCCCCTCCCTGTCCAAGCGGACAGTCTGTAGTTCAGCAAGGTTGTTAAATCTGGAGAAAAGTGGGCAGAGTGTGTAACAGAGCCCATTTTGGGGTCTCAGCAGAGAAGATTGGAGGGAGAGAGGAAGAGGAGGAAGCGGAAAAGTATTTTAAGGACAGATAGACGGTTGAATAGTCTTGATGATGACTTTTTTTTTTTTTTTTTTGGTTGGTAGTAGGGCCTGAACTCTGGACTTGGGCACTGTCCCTCAGCTCTTCAGCTCAAGGCTAGCTCTCTACCACTTGAGCCACAGCACCACTTCCGGCTTTTTCTGCTTATATGGTGCTGAGGAATCGAACCCAGGGCCTCATGCTTGCAAGGCAAGCGCTCTACCACTGAGCCATCTTCCCAGCCCCATGACAGCTTGTTTTTTTCTTTTTGGGCTGACACTGGGGCCTGAACTCAGGGCTTACACTCTCACTTATCTTTTCCCACTCAAGGCTGGTTGTAGACAAGAATCTCAGAGTTTTGTCTGCCTGGGCTCGGGTCAAAGAACCATGATCTTTAGATCTCACCTCCTGAGTAGCTAGGATTACAAACATGAGCCACATGTTGTAAACAGTCTAGCCTAGCTAGACTCTTCATCTCCAATAAGCCCAATAAGTCCAATGCTGCTGCCCCTACATCTGAGTAATAAGGTACTAAATGTGGAGAACTTGTAAGAAATTGCACACTGGTTAGGAATGCCTGGAAATAAGGATGAAAAGATGGAGGCTACCTTCATAAGGCATTTAAATTTCATTCTGGAAGTAACAGAGAGGAGAATCAGGGAATGCCTGATCAGATTTGGTGTTTGTAGGACCATTTCAGCAACATTATAGGGAGACTAGAATGGAGACAGGGAGACAAGAGTTTGTTGGGCAGCGAAGTGGCAACAGAATTATCTAAGGCAGGGGCTGGGAAGGTGGCTCAGTGGTAGAGAGCTTGCCTTGCATGCAAGAGGCCCTGGGTTTGATTCTTCAGCACCACATAAGCAAAAAGCCGGAAGTGGCACTGTGGCTCAAGTGGTAGAGCGCTAGCCTTGAGCTGAAGAGCTGAGGGACAGCGCCCAGGCCCAGAGTTCAGGTCCCACGACCAGACCCCCCCCCTCCAAAAAAAAAAAAAAAAAAGAATTATCTAAGGCAGGTGAGAGAGGCTGGGGAAAAAAGAGAATTTTCTTTTTAATTTAAGACAAGATCTTAGCCGGGAACGGGTGACTCAGGCCTGTAATCCTAGCTACTCATGAGGCTGAGATCTGAGGATCACTGTTCAAAGCCAGCTAGGCAGGAAAGCCCATGAGACTCTTACTTCCAGTAAACCACTCAGAAACCAGGAAATGGCACTGTAGCAAGCACTAGAGCACTAGCCTTGAGCTGAAGAGCTGAGGGATAGCGCCCAGACCCAGAGTTCAAGCCCCACAACTGACTATATATATCTTGCTAGAGAGCCCAGGCTGGCCGCTATGCAACTCAGTCTGGCTTGGAATTCCTAATCCTACCTCAGCTTCCTGAGTCCTGGGATTAAAGGCTTGCACCACTACCTCTTGTTTAAAAAGAGTGATCTTTGAGGAGGGAAAAATCAATTGGACACTGCCAGTGATTGTAGTGTACAGTAATTAGCGAGACACACATAAATAAGACAGATCAGGAGAGCTCAGAGAAAGAGTCATGCGTGTGTTTCCAGCACCCTCGCGTCTCCAGCACTCACATCTTCTCGGACAGGTCCTCATCCTCAAGAAAGTTCATGTTGCGCTTGGTGATAAGGGCTTCGGTGATGCAGACACCCTCTTCCTCGGGACTGGGAGCCCGGTTAGCTGTGACATGGCGAGGCCGATTGTCACTCTCCTTCCTCCTTGGAGGCCTGCCATCGCCATTTGCCAACTGTTGTACCCACCAACCCTCCTCCCTACTCACCTCCAAACATGATCTAAAGTAAATGGCGGCTAGCCTGAGGCGGGAGTCGGTAGGCCCCGCGGGATGGCGGAACCCAGGTGAGACAAACCCAGACTTAGGAGACAAGGGAAAGGAGTTGATTCCGAACAACTAGTTTTCGAATGGGGTCGACGACAGAAGTAAGTCGAAGTAGAGAGGCTGTGCTGGTCGTACACCGAGGTGTTGAAGGCTGGAGGGTTAAGCGACTCCTAGGGAGTCCCGCGTGGTTGCTAAGCGACCGGACGCCAGGTCGCGGGGCGGGGGGGGGGGGGGGAGGAGGAGGAAAGGCAAGCATTACTGGTCCTGCTCGGCGCATGCGTGACACGGCCCCATCGTGAGATCCGCCTCCCGCGACAGGATTGCTGCTCCCACAATCCTTAGCGACTTCCGTCTCCTCTCGGCTTCGGTCGCCATTCTTCCGGTAGCAATGGCTGCGGCCGTGGCCGTGAAGCTGAGAGGGGAGCTCCTGCCCCTGGCGGGTAAGGGGCGGCCCGAGACCTGCTTGCACTTCTTCTCTCCCCTACTTCTCACCCCCTCCTGCAATCTCTGACCTCGGCTCCCGGGGATCCCTACCACTACCGAGACCATGGGCCATTCAGTGTAGCCAGTAGGTGGCATGGTGCCCGACCTTAGTAGGCATGCAGTAGCTGTTGAACGAATGAATTTGAGCATTCGCTATAGGCTAGGGATTCCGATGTATGGTTTGTATGTGCCTCCTTATTTATGTTTTCAAGAACACTACGAGGAAGGCATTATCCCTGCCTCTTTACAGATAGGGAAGTGGGTTTGGGATCAGTTGGGTAACTGGGCAAGGAAGGTCGCAGCTAGTATGTGCAATTCCGGCTGATCCCATACCTGCTTGTAAAAGCTGGGTGGCCACCTCTTGCCCAGCAGTTCTCCAGGCACTCTGGTCATTAGAGCCTTGAGACTCTCCTGTCTTAGGCCTTGTTGAGAGGACGAATGGGGTCGTTTTGTCCCAGTGTTTGAGCCTCTCCTTGCTTTCCTCAAGGATAATCTCAAGCATTGCCAGTCCACAAGAAAACAGTGTAGGGAGACTTAGTTGGGAGAGCTGTGAGGGTGGGGTAGCGAGTTTTTCACCTCTTGCTTCAAGTCATAGGAACAAACTTTTGCACGTGTAAGCTTTGTTGGAGGTGGAAGGAGCTTATTGAACAATATTTTTGCACCCTCCTCCCCATGAGTTTTTGACTCCTCAGGTCTTAGAGCAGGAGGCATGAGAATTTGTAGTTTATTGACTGATTGATTTTGATGGTAACTATTTGAACCCAGGGCTTTATGCTTGTTAGGCATCTAGTGCTGTTTTTGGCTTGTTTGTTGTTGCTTTTGAATTTTTTGTTAGTTTTGTTTTGGGCTGGTACCAAAGCTCCAAGCAGTATAGCCCTCACTCAGCATTTTTGTTTTTGTTTATGTGATCCTGAGGTATCGAACCCAGGGCCTCATGCATGCTAGGCAAGCACTCTACCACTAAGCATTCCCAGCCCCCTCCTTTTCTAGCCTGGGACTGGCATCAATCTGCCATCCTTCAGAGCTCAGCTTCCCAAGTAGCTAAAATTACAGGCGTGAACCACAAGCATGGGGGAGAATTTGTATTTTTTACAGGTTTCCATATGATGCTGATATTGCTGGCTGGATTGGGGTGACTGTACTTCAGAACCACTGGCTTAAATAAGGAACCACTGTTTTTGTTTTTTGCTTTTTTTTTTCAGTGATAGGGATGTCCTCTAACACTAAGCAACATTCCCCCAGTTCATGGTCACTGTTTTATAAATAAAGTTTCATTGAAACATAGTCTCATCTGCGTATATATTGTCTGTGACTGCTTTTGGCAGAATTGAGCCCTCAAGCTCAAAATATTTAGAATTCGATCATTTAAGAAAAGATTTGTAGGGACTGGGAAGGTGGCTCAGTGGTAGAGCACTTGCCTTGCATGCATGAGGCCCTGGGTTCGATTCCTCAGCACCACATAAGCAAAAAGAAAAAAACCGGAAGTGGTGTTGTGGCTCAAGTGGTAGAATGCTAGGCTTGAGCTGAAGAGCTGAGGGACAGTGCCCAGGCCCAGAGTTCAGGCCCCACGACCGGACCCAAAAAAAAAAAGAAAAGAAAAGATTTGTAGCAGGGCACCGGTGGCTCACGCCTGTAATCCTAGCTACTCAGGAGGCTGAGATCTGAGGATTGCGGTTCAAAGCCAGCCTGGGCAGCAAAGTCCATGAGACTCTTATCTCCAATAAACCACTAGAAAACCAGAAGTGGCGCTGTGGCTTAAGCAGTAGAGCGCTCGCTTTGAGCTGAAGAGTGCAAGGACAGTGCCCAAGCCCAGAGTTCAAAAAAAAAGAAAAGAAAAGATTTGTGGCTGGGAATGTGGCTTACTGGTAGAGTGCTTGCTTAGCATGTGTGAGGCCCTAGATTTTATTCTTCTGTACCATAAACAGAAAAAGCCAGAAGTAGCACTGGCTCAAGTGGTAGAGTGCTAGGCTTGAGCAAAAGAAGCTCAGGTACAGTGCCCCAGCCCTGAGTTCAAGCCCCAGGACTGACAACAGAAAAGAATAGATTTGTGAGAGGCACTAATGGCTGACACTTGAAATCTAGAAGATTGTGTTTAGAAGGCAGACTGGGTAAGAAAGTCCAATAATGTCTATTTCCAAATGACCAGCAAACAGCCAGACGAGATGTAGCAGAGCACCAGCTGAGCAAGCAGGAGGCATTGAGTTCAAACCTCTGTAGTAGCAAAAAAAAAAGAAAGAAAAAGGAAAGGTTTGCAGCCCACTCTCCCAGTTTGAATAATGAATTCAAAATCCTTTTTCCCCCAATACCAGGGCTGGAACACAAGACCTTTTACTTTTTCAGCTTTTTTGCTGGCAACTGGTGCTCTACCACTTGAGATACAGCCTGGAGCCCTTGTGCTCATTTTTTTTTTCCTTTTTAATCTCATCTCTGCACATTAAGGAAAAAAAAAAGAACCAGAGAAATGGGAGCCTCTAGGAATCAAGCAACTGATCTAAGGTCATCCACTAGAATGAGAAGAAACAATTCAGGATTTCTGTCGGGCAATTCTTTTTTAAATTTTTTTATTTCTATTTATTTTTTGTCTGCCATGGGGCTTGAATGCGGGGCCTGAGCACTGTCCCTGTGCTCTTTTGCTTAAGGCTAGTGCTCTTCCATTTTGAGCCACAGTGCTACTTCTAGTTTTCTGGTGGTTCTTTGGAGGTAAGATTCTCATGGAGCCGAGTGCCAGTGGCTCATGCCTGTCATCCTAGCTACTCAGGAGGCTGAGATCTGAGGATCATGGTTCAAAGCCAGCCCAGGCAGGAAAGTCTGGGAGACTAAACTGGAAGTGGCACTGTAGCTCAAGTGGTAGAGTGCTAGCCTTGAGCTAAATTGCTGAGGGACAGTGCCCAGGCCCAGAGTTCAAGCCCCATGACCAAAAAAACAAAAAAGTTTCATGGCCTTTCTTGCCCAGGCTGGCTTTGAACCACAATCTTCAGATCTCAGCCTCCTGAGTAGCTAGGTTTACAGGCTTGAGCCACTGACAGCCTGCTCTGTCAGGCAATTCTTTGTTCTATTTTTGGCTATTGTCAGAGTATATTATCTAGGGTCTTCAAGAGGCTGCATCTCACTATGTGCCTTGTCTCCCCTCCTAGGCCTGCTGCCCACCCTCCAGCCTGTGCGCTATGGCTCCAAGGCAGTAACCCGCCACTGGCGTGTCATGCACTTTCAGCGGCAGAAGCTGATGGCTGTGACTGAGTATATTCCCCCCAAACTTGCCATCAACCCAAGATGCCTGCCACCTCCCCCCAGCCCTCCAAAGGAGGTAAGAACACTGGATGCATATCACTTAGTGCTGGGATGGTAAATTAAAATAATCTCCGGTGCTGGTGGCTCACACCTGTAATCCTAGCTAGTTGGGAGGCTGAGATCTGAGGATTGCAGTTCAAAGCCAGCCTGGGCAGCAAAGTCCATGAGACTCTTCTCCAGTAAACAATCAGAAAACCAGAAGTGGCACTGTAGCTCAGGTAGTAGAGTGCTCACCTTGATCTGAAGAGCTCAGGGACAATAGCCAGGCCCTGAGTTCAAGCCTCACAACCAACCAACCAACATAAATAAATAAATAATCTTTTGCTGGGTGTGATGGTACATGCCTGTAATCCCAGTGTTCAGGGGCTAAGTCCAGATAATACCAGTTTTTTTGTTGTTGTTGTTGTTTGTTTGTGTGTTTGTTTTTGGATCCAGTCGTGGGGCCTCAACTCTGGGCCTGGGCGCTGTCCCTCAGCTCTTCAGCTCAAGGCTAGTACTCTACCACTTGAGCCACAGCGCCATTTCTGGCTTTTTTTTTTCTGCTTATGTGGTGCTGAGGAATCGAACCCAGGGCCTCATGCATGCAAGGCAAGCGCTCTACCACTGAGTCACCTTCCCAGCCTGATAACACCAGTTTTGAAGCCAATCTATTGTTATACAGCAAGTTTGAGGCCAGCCTGAAATATAGTGAGACCCTATCTCTTACATAAAACCAAATAAAAGACACACACACACATACACATACACACACACACAAAGATTTTTTTCTTCCAATGAAGTAGGATTTTAAGCCATAGTAACTTTATTTATTGTCTGTGATGGGTCTTGAACTCAGGGCTTGGGCTCTGTCCCTGAGCTCTTTTCCTCAAGGCTAGTATTCCAGGACTTTGAGGCACAGTTCCACTTGGGGATTTTGTGAGGGTAATGGAAGATAGGAGTTTCTGTTTCCGTGATACTGAGGACTCGAACCCAGGGTTTCATGCATGCTAGGCAAGCACCCTACCACTAAGCCATATTCCCAGTCCCCCCTGAGTTCTTATTTACTCAAGGCACTTTGAACCACAGTGCCACTCCCCGTTTCCTGGTAATTAGAGATAAGGGTCTCAAGGACTTTCCTGCCCAGGCTGGCTTTGAACCTCGATCAGACCTCAGTCTCTCTCTCTCTTTTTTTTTTTTTTTGGTCAGTCATGGGGCCTGAACTCTGAGCCTGGACACTGTCCCTCAGCTCTTCAGCTCAAGGCTAGCACTCTACCACTTTGAGCCACAGTGCCACTTCCAGTTTTTCTGCTTATGTGGTGCTGAGGAATCGAACCCAGGGCCTCATGCATGCAAGGCAAGCAGTCTACCGCTGAGCCACCTTCCCAGCCCAGATCTCAGCCTCTTGAGTAACTAGGATTGCAGGCCTGAGCACCAGTGCCTGGCCACTTTTAAGTCCAAACTTCTAAAAGTTATCTTGTATTTTCCCTCCTTCCTTCCTTCCTTCCTTCCTTCCTTCCTTCCTTCCTGTTTTTGTGCTAAAGAGAGATCGAACCCAGGTTCTCATATACACTAAGCACTCACCATGAACTACACCTTAGCTCTTTCTTTTATTTATTTAGTTAAAATTTAATTTTTTTAGGGCTGGGAAGGTGACTCAGTGGTAGAGCGCTTGCCTTGCATGCCTGAGGCCCTGGATTCAATTCCTCAGCACCACATAAGCAGAAAAAAAAAAAAGCCGGAAATGGTGCTGTGACTCAAGTGGTAGAGTGCTATCCTTGAGCTGAAGAGCTGAGGGACAGCGCCCAGGCCCAGAGTTCAGACCCCACGACCGGACCCAAAAAAAAAATTTTTTTTTTTAAATTTTTTTGCTGGTGTTGAGCTTGAACTCAGGGCCTGAGTACTGTCCCTGAACCTCTTTGTGTTCAAGGCTAGTGTTTACCATTTGAGGCACAGCATACCACTTCTGGCTTTTTCTGAATAATTTATTAGAGATAAGAATCTCACGGACTTTTCTGCCCTGGTTGGCTTTGAACCATGATCCTCCCATCTCACCATCCTGATTACAGCCTCCTAGGGTTACAGGTATGAGCCACCAGTGTCTGGCCTTGTATTTATAACTGGAAAAATAATTCAATGTGAGAACAGCATCAGATGGGTAATTGAAATAATTCTACAATATCACTATCAAACAGTATTGACTAGCGCAGCTGGGTGACCTGTTTGGGGAGAAGCAAGAATTACCAGGTTTAAAAACGCTGCTGTGAATATTGCCACTTGCTAATGAAAGTGGAAAGGTTACAGTGGGCGTTGTGGAAGTTATAACAAGTCCTTGAGTCTGGGGGCCCACAGCCTTATTTGCTCCCCAACGTTTCAAATATGGGCATCACAGAGAGTCCTAACACCTCTACAAGAAGTGAGCAATGCCAAGAGAAAAAACAGCAGACACCCCTTCACCATTCATTTCTGCCTTCAGGAGACAGGCCTCATTCGCCTCCTTCGTAAGGAGATAGCAGCAGTTTTCCGAGACAATCGAATGATTGCGGTGTGCCAGAATGTAGCTATGAGTGCAGAGGACAAGATTCTCATTCGTCACCAGCTGCGAAAACATAACATCTTAATGAAGATCTTCCCCAATCAGGTAAGGGTAGGGCCTGTCTGCCCCCAGGCCCTCCAGACATGCTCTGTTCTGCTCCCTGGGAGGGGTATTTCCCATCCTTTCACCTGATGCCTAGAGGACCCCTTGGGTTGCACCCTCAGTCTGTGAACAAGGTGAGTGGTCCTATTTCGACCTGTCCCCCATCAGAAGTTCTTTTTTGTCACCCCAGGTTATGAAGCCTTTTCTGGAGGGTTCTAAGTACCAAAACCTGCTGCCCCTTTTTGTGGGTCATAATATGCTGCTGGTCAGTCAGGAGCCCAAGGTCAAGGAGATGGTGCGGATCTTAAAAACTGTGCCTTTCCTGCCATTGCTAGGTGAGTAAGCAGCACTGGTCGGCAAGGGTGTTATGGAGTGTGCAGTGAGCACAGAGCCTGGAGAAGGGCCTCCTCTCATGCTGGGCTGACTCTGTATCTGTTTTGTCTCCCTGCTTCTGGTCATTTCTGGAGACAGGAAGACAGAGCAGGAGCTTTGGGGTAGGGGAGGGGAAATTTAGACCTCTGGAATCTTACCACCAGAGAGTTTTCGGTGCTGAAGCTCCACAGATGAAGGTATTTAAAACAAGTATCCAAATAAAAGGTGCTTAGGGACGATGCCTAGTATTCCTAGACATTGGTGATGATAAAACTGTCAGGCAAGTGCTGCCCATGTCCCCAGGACATCCAGATTTCATAGAAATCTGTGTTTATACTTTCCTCCCACATACTTCATTCTCTTTTTTCCAATTTTTCTATTGTAAAATACATATGATGTAAACTTTACCATCAGAACTTTTTTTGTTGTTGTTTTTTGTCAGTCATGGGTCTTGAACTCCGTGCCTGAGTGCTGTCCCTCAGCTCTTCAGCTCAAGGCTAGCACTCTACCACTTGAGCCACAGCGTCATTTCTGGTTTTTTGAGTTGTTTATTGGAGATAAGAGTTTCAATGTCTTTCCTGCCCGGGCTGGCTTTGAACCATGATCCTCAGATCTCAGCCTCCTGAGTAGCTAGGATTACAGGCGTGAGCCACCAGCGCCCGGCCATCAGAACTATTTTTAACTCTGTGTACATGCATGCACATGCATGTGCGTGTGTGTTGCAGGCACTCCTCCTTAGCTCTTTTGTTCAAGGGTACCATTCTACCATTTAAGCCACCGCTCCACTTCTTGCTTTTTGGTGGTTAATTGGAAATAAGAGTCCCATAGACTTTCCTGCCTGGGCTGGATTCAGACCTCCAATCTTAGATCTTAGTCTCCTGAGTAGCTAGGATTACAGGGATGAGCCACCTGTGCCTGGCCACTTTTCACTCTTGAGTGGTATTAGATACATTTGTAATCCTGAACCATGATCACCTCCTTCCATCTATATAACTCAGTCTTGTAAAACTGAAATTTTATAAATCAAACATTAACTCTGTTTCTTCCTACTCTGTGATCCTATCTTTTTTTTTTTTTTTTTTTGTCAGTTGCGGAGCTTGAGCTCTGAGCCTGGGCAGTGTCCCTCATCTCTTCAGCTCAAGGCAAGCACTCTACCACTTGAGCCACAGCACCACTTCCTGTTTTCAGGTGGTTTATGAGAAAGAAGAATCTCACAGACTTTCCTGCCTAGGCTGGCTTTGAACCATGATCCTCAGATCTCAACCTCTTGAGTAGCTAGGATTATAGTAGTGAGCCACCGGCACCTGGCCTGTGATCCTATCTTTAAGAAAATTTAGGAATTTCTGGCCTGGGAAGGTGGCCCAGTGGTAGAGTGCTTGCCTTGCATGCATGAGGCCCTTGGGTTCGATTCCTCAGCACCACATAAGCTGAAAAAGCCGGGAGTCGGCACTGTGGCTCAAGTGGTAGAGTGCTAGCCTTGAAATAAAGAGCTGGGGGACAGCGTCCAGGCCCAGGCCCAGGCCCAGGCCCCACAACCGACCAAAAAAAAAAAGAAAAGAAAAAGAAAATTTCAGAATTTCTGACTTTAGAGGACGTGGGACCAGAGTTATGTAAATTTTCAAGTTAGGAGAGAGGATTCTATCCATCTCTAACAGTGGCAGTGGATGGGCATAAATGGAACCCTGATTCTGGGACAGGCTAGGAGGGGAGAAGGACAATGGAGTATGGATTCCTAAGAGTGAGACTTTGTTTCCAGGGGAGAAAGGCATTTGTAGTGTCCCAGCTGACCCTGTGTTTTTCCAGGTGGCTGCATTGATGACACCATCCTCAGCAGGCAAGGCTTCATCAACTACTCCAAGCTGCCCAGCCTACCCCTGCTGCAGGGTGAACTGGTAGGAGGGCTCACCCTTCTTGTAGGCCAGACCCATTCCCTGCTTCAGCACCAGCCTGTGCAGCTGACTGCCCTGATGGATCAGTACATCAGACAACAACAAGAAGATGCTGTCACACCAGCCAATGGGAAGCCAGATCCTCCTGATCCTGCTCTGGATTCCTAGCCGGCCCATTTTACCTAGCCTTGCACATAAATACACTCTGCCCTTATTGGTTGTGCTATCCTCCATTGGAGATGTGGAAGCATTTGGGGTGGGAAAGTGGCATGCATGACTTGGATTCCACTCATGATCACCTCCTCAGATACAGGACCACTTGGAGATGCAGAGGAATTCTCTTTCAAAATAGAGGCATCCCTGAGCTTTATTTTCTTAACCTGGGACCTGAAAGGGGAAGTTTCCCAGGCATCTTGCCCTGACCCTCTTGTCCTCCTGTGTTTCCCAACCTACCCCACAACCTCAACAATGGATGAGCTGGTAATTGGGCTAACAGTGACTCATTAACAGCCTTCATTGTGCTGGGTCTCATGCTAAACGATGTTTCTTTATCTTCATGGTGTAGCAGAGACATTCAGTGCCCTGTGAAAGATCATTGACAGAATGGGGACTTGAAGCAGACACTGCTTTGAAGCCCTGACCATCCACACTAGAGCTTCTTCATTAGATTATCCAGAAATGGGTCCCTGATAGATTCCACTTTTGGGGTATGCTGTGTTGCACAGCTTTGTGACAAATTGAAATGCATTTTGTTTCCGTCATCTCTCACTCTTCCTACTTCCTATAAGTCCTCTTCCCTTGTATCAGTCACACAAATGACATCTCTTACATGCTTGTTCCTTTGTTGTTGTTAGTTGGAGCTTAAACTCAAGGCCTGGGCCTTGTCCCTGAGCTTTATAAAGACTAATTCTCTACCACTTTGAACACAGCACCACTTTCAGTTTTCTGATGGTTAATTGGAGATAAAAGTCTCATGGAACCGGGCGCCGGTGGCTCACGCCTGTAATCCTAGCTACTCAGGAGGCTGAGATCTGAGGATCTCAGTTCAAAGCCAGCTCAGACAGGAAAGACCGTGAGACTCTTATCTCCAATAAACCACTAGAAAACTGGAAGTGGTGCTGTGGCTCAAGCTGTAGAGCACTCGCCTTGAGCTGAAGAGCTGAGAGTTAGCACCCAAGCCTAGAGTTTAAGCCCCACAACCGACAAAAAAAAAAAAGAGTCTCATGGACTTTCCTGCCTGGGCTGGCATTGAAACACGATCCTCAGATCTCAGCCTCCCAGTAGCTTGGATTACAGACGTGAGCCACTCAGTTTATGCTCATCCTTTTGTTGTCCGCTGTCACGTGTGCCCAGTAGCTAATACGTCTCAAGTGGGTCTGCACAAAAGGACTAGGGGAGCTAGGAGTCTTTGTAATGGGGGGCCTTGGTATCCACCAGAGTAGGAGGCTTCCCCCCAAGGTTTTCTTTTATTCAATTTTTAAAAATTGAGGCTGCAATTTAGCTCATTGGCAAAGCATCTACCTAGCATGTGTAACATCCTGGTTTGGATCCCCAGTACCAAAAAATAAAAGACAAAAAAAATACGATTAAAAAAATTGTTATTGTAAAGGTGTACAGAGGGGTTACAGTTACATAAGTCAGGTAAAGAGTACATTTCTTAGCCAGGTGCTGGTGGCTCACGCCTGTAATCCTAGCTACTCAAGAGGCTAAGATCTGAGGATCATGGTACAAAGCCAGCCTGGGCAGGAAAGTCCATGAAAATCTTTTTTTTGTTTGTTTGTTTTTGTTATTTATTTATTTTTGTCAGTCATGAGCCTGAACTCTGGGCCTGGGTTCTATCAGCTCTTTAGCTCAAGGCTAGCGCTCTACCACTTGAGCCACAGTGCCACTTCTGGCTTTTTCTGCTTATGTGGTGCTGAGGAATTGAACCCAGAGCCTCATGCATGCAAGGCAAGCACTCTACCACTAAGCCACCTTCCCAGCCCCTCCATGAAAATCTTATCTCCAATAAACCACCAGAAAACAGGAAGTGGCACTGTAGCTCAAGTGGTAGAGTGCTAGCCTTGAGCTGAAGAGCTGAGGGACAGCACCCAAGCCCAGGGTTCAAGCCCTGCGACTGGGGAAAAAAAAAAAAAGTACATTTCTTGGCTGGGTGCCAGTGGCTCACACCTGTAATCCTAGGTATTCAGGAGGCTGAGATCTAAGGATTGCAGTTCAAAGCCAGCACCCCAAGAAAGTCCATGAGACTCTTATCTCCAGTTAACCACCAGAAAACCGGAAGTGGATCTGTGGCTCAAAGTGGTAGAGTGCTAGCCTTGAGCTGAAGAGCTCAGGGACAGTGCCCAGGCCCAGAATTCAAGTCCCACAACTGACAAAAAAAAAAAAAAGTACATTTCTTTTTGGACAATGTCACTTCTTCCCTCACTCTCCCATTTTTCCCCCTCCCATCCTATCCACAAGTTGTATAGTTCATTTTCAATGTAGAGTCTAGTGACTACCATTGCTGCATTTGTTCACCCTTTGTCCTATTAATGTGGTCCCCCCCCACACCTACAGTCTCCGCCCCCCCCCCCTCCCCCCCAAGTCTTAGAGAACCAGCAGCTCCTTATAAAGGATCTGATGTTGAGCTACTGGCCTACCATTTGTCCTTGAGAGCACATCCTAGGTAGATCCTGTGGTGAATTAAGAGAGTTCTTCAGCTTTCCTTGTGGGACTTGGAGCCATGCCCCAGTGTCCTTAGTCCTGGACAGACACTGTCTGGCAGTAAGATTTGCAATGACTTTTCCATGGCTTGAGCCAGGCCCAACTTCCCACAGTGCCCAACTCTGTAGGTGTCCAAGGATGCTCAATCACTGTGAAGTGAATTAAAAGGCCCTCTGAGGCTCCCAGATGCCAGCGTTGGTCTGCCCAGTGCTGCTTAGTGGTTCTCCCTGCCTCCTGAACTCTGCTGGATACACGTGGCACCCCTCCCCTAGAGGCTGGAGCAGTCCTGGGGTTCTGAATGGAGCCAGGAGAGCAAGCGACTCAGTGATGCAAAAGACCTTTGACCATGACCAATACTGCGTGGAGGCAACAAGCAGATAAGTGACATCATACCGTCACCTCCTGGTGCCAAAGTCCCACCACAAAAACTCAAAAGCATCTCTTTTTTTTTTTTGAGGGGAGATCTGGTCCTAGGGCTTGAACCCAGGGCCTGGGTGCCACCTCTGAACCTTTGTCCAAGGCTAGTGTTCTACGACTTGAGCCACAGTGCCACTTCTGGCTTTTTCTGAGTACTTTATTGGAGATAGGAGTCTCATGGACTTTCCTGCCCTGGCTGGCTTCTAATTGTCATGCTCAGATCTTCAGTAGCTAGGATTACAGGTGTGAACCACCAGCTCCTAGCTTCAAAACATCTTTTGAAAAAAAAAAAAAAAGGTGTGTGTGTGGGGGGGGGGGAGTGCTTTGTTGCACTTAAAGCTATCCATTTGAATGAATTCTAGAATTCTAGATCTTTCTTGGGCCAATTTTCACACTTGGGCAACTGAACACAGTACTCCAGCAGAAGTATAAATGTGCCCAGAAAGTGAAGGGACCCAAGTTAGCTTTCCTTTATAACAGCCGGCTGGTGACTGGCTCATACCTGTCCCCCTTCTAGAGACTCAGTGCCCTGGAGTTTTGTTTTACTACTTGGGCATTTCCAGACCCCCACAGGCCTCCCCCTCAATGAGCAGCCTCTGCAGGGCTGCAGGCCATCTCTACCTCCTGCCCTGATTGCCCTGCTGACTTGGCTCCTGGCACTGTGGTGTACAAGGGGTAGTAGGGCGGCATCTGACCCTTCCCATCAACCAGATCACCTCTGCAGCTGAATTTTGTAGTCTATTTCAGATGTAAAATGAGACACCAGGGTCAATAAGGAAATGGCCTTGGGCACTCCCTGGGGGCGAGTTCATACTAGGTAGAATAAATCCTATAGCACCACTGGCTGGTGGCCCGCAGGTATCAGTCCTCTGATCTGTCTGGAACCCTGCTGTGGTGACTGTGGTCCCCCCACCCCACCCCATTCCCAAGCCACTCCGGTGGTTGAGCCCTGAGTCCTCCGGGGAGCAGGGGGGCAGAGCTGAGCGGCTGCCCGGAGCTTGGCGGGAGGAGGCGACGGGGGAGGGGCAGGTGGGGAGATCCGGCTGGAGGGGAGGCTCCGACGTCTCCTTCCTTCCTGGTTCCTGCAGCAGCAGCAGCAGCAGCCACAGCAGCTGCCACTGCTCAGCTCTGTGAGAAGGTAGCCGGGTGACTCGGAGACAGTGACTCAGAGGCAGAGCGGGCCAAGGAGCACGGGCGTCCATGGACCTTGGGGTAAGGGGGCCTGGCTGGCACTACCTGCCACTCCCCGGGAGGGCCTCCTACCTAGAACTGGAGAGTCTGCTTATCTGGAGACAGGGCTGGGAATGGAGGTAGCAGGAGATTGCCCACCTGGCTTAACTCCTTTCCACTGACAGCCCCGCCTCACCCTCCAACATCCCTTCTCCCACCTCCCTGCAGGCAGCCCTGGGGACCAGGACAAGGGCATCGAGATTCCCAAACACCAGAAGAGTTTAGCAACTTTCAGTGGCCGATTGCAGGAGTTCTCCCTCGGGTCAGCCTGGACCCCCCCGTGCTGTGACCTCCTGGCCACCCTTAGCCTGCCAACTGCTATGTCCTGTCCCTTTCCCATTCCTGCCTCAGTTCCTCAGGTGCTCCCTAGGCACTGATCAGGAGATCTGAGCTGCTTCCCCAGCCCCAGGCCAACCTTGCCCCTCCAGTCCCCTCCCCCAGCGCTCTCTCTCTCTCTCTCTCTCTCTCTCTCTCTCTCTCTCTCTCTCTCACTCACTCACACACACAGCCTCATGCATTATTGATATCCCAGTGGAGCCAGGATGGCCAGGGCCCGTGCCAAAGGCGCCTGTGGGCATTGCTGGGTGACCTGGGCAGACCTCTGGGTGTTCTTGGCCACTTCTCCCACCCACATTGTCTATCAGCCAGTGTTCTGCGCTCTCTGGGTGGGAGTTACTTCTCAGGAGCCACAAGGACTGGGGTCATAGAAAACAGATGGTGAAGCTTTGAGGATAATTGAGGGTCCAAGGAGGGAATCTTAGAGGTATGCTCGGTGGGGAGAGACACAGGGGGTGGGGAGATAGGAGTTGTCCCCATGCAAAAAAAAAAAAGGGGGGGGTGCCCAAGAACTAGAAGCTATGGGGTCC